AAGATAGTAGATAGCCCACCGTCGAGAGTCTTGACATAAGTTTCACAAAATATAATAAATGAATACGCTTGAACAGTGCATATACGACACGCGAAATTTCATTTCAGTACATCTGGACATATTCAACATTTTTTCGTGTCGAGAGCGTCCTCAAAAATGGGAAGATATATATGCCTTCGAAATGAGCGTAAGAAACAACGCGGCTCAATAATCTTCAATTAATTATTAAATTCAGAGCAAAAAGATATTCGATTGATGTTGTTTAACGGTCGAGCACGCTCCGCCTATGGGACTGAACACGTTCGATAAATGTTCACAGTTCTATCATAGTATTTCTATCTGCATGTAAACCTTTTGCACAGTGTCACAGGAAGACATGTTGGATGAGCTCGGCGAATGGCGAGCACGATATTATATGATCTTGAATGGTCATTGATCGAGGAAAGTGCGTATAAACACACCAGCGATGGTTATTATAATTACAATAATTAAGATTTGTAGCTCGAAGTACGTGAAGTAAATACTCTATTCACGGCCCATAACACAAAAGGTGATAAAAGCAGTGCATGATCGGCTTTATTTGTACGACGCAATAAATTGACGGTACAGCTGCCAGTTTTAGGTACAATAACAACGTTGACAGCTGTTTATAAATTTTTCTCACATTTTTAACCGTAAGTATGATTTCCATAGTGGGTAATGATTATATAAGCTTACTCCTATGCCTCTGTCCTTCAGATGCATACGTTGTAAAGGGCACACAATTACCAGCTTACTCGTACGCCCTTGTATATATTTTTATGATAACACACTAATTCCATGGATAACACATACCCTTCATGGAGACAAATTCTATGAGATCGACGAGTAATGAGCTACATGAATTTCTGATTTTTTGTGTACTTAGATTGTTCATTTAGCGGTTTCCCCTTTTAAATCACATTGAAACAGGCCCCAAGCTCGCCTAACCAATGCACAACGGGTCGAGATCTGCCAGCACAAGGCCAGCAAATAGAGCTGCCAGCATTTTCTGAGCTCACCTTACCCAGCATGACATCTCTCGTATACTTAAGAAGCGCACAGAGATGAAATCTATAACAGATACTGAACTTTCCGCCAAACTCCCACGCGTCGCTCAGGATCCGAAGCTGAAGAAAGCTTTTTCAACATGCGCCGTTTGATGCCAGACAAGGAATGTTGCCCTAACTGGAGATATTGCCAAGGTCAAGGTGAAGGTGTTTTCGGAACGACTTGGCCTACCTGAGGAAACAATCAAGTTTTCGAGTAGATATTTGCAACGCTTCCAAAGGCAAAACAATCTCCTCAGCATTCGGTATCACGAAGAGAGTGGTTCAGCAAATGAGGAAGCCATGGATGCATCACTGCCTGGACTTTGGTCTGTGATTGTTTGCTACTATCCCCAAAATGGTTTATACATGGAAGAAACTGGTACGTCTGGATTCGAAAAATTTAAATTAATCTGATATTGAACGGTGATGTTGTGAATACAGGTCTATTTTACAACATGGTTCCGGAGAAACCAGTTGCGCAAAAAGAAGTTGAGGGTTTTAAGGAAAAGAAGGTCGTCCTTAATTCGATTCCTATACTGAGCCTTAAAGCTTGTAATTTTCAGTTCTACAACAGTATTTTCCTTTTTATTCAGGCACGGATCTCTATTGTCTTCACGGCCAATGCGGATGGTACTAAAAAGTCAAGCCTTTTTTATTGGAGAAGCAAAAACTTCGTATTTTTTAAGCGCAAGTTCGGAGAGGAGCTCGGATTCTACCCCATGAACAACAAGAAGGCCTGGATGACTGGTGTTCTGTTTCATGAGTGGTTGACGACGTTCGACACCGACATAAATTGAAGTTCATTTGGCCACTTTAATACGCTTTTAGCGAACCAGTATCATTTTTCTGGTCTGCGAGAGAAAGGCCTTGCTTTTGCAAGAAAATGCATCATATCATACTAACAGTGATCTAAAGCTGGATAATGTTCACGTGCAGTTCCTGCCTTTCAACTGTACCGCAAAAATTAAGCCCACGAATTCAGGAATCATCGCTGCTTCTAAGCCCCAATATAGGTGCCTCCGTCGTCAAGATGCTGCGGACCGCGACGAACGCGGCGATGCCAAAATCGACAAGGTCGATCATTGAACCGCCCTGAATAAGATTTTGACAGCGTGCAGGGAGATTCTAGCTGCAACTATGGCAAACTGTTTCATTCACACTGGACTATTTTTACCCTCGCCTTCGCCCTATGTGGCTGATTATGAGGAGCAAATAATTGAGCGCGAGCTGCAGGATGCCATCAATCTTCTTCCTCTTAGGAAACCCATGGCGAAATTTAATCTGATACATTCGGTGGCGGAGGATGAAGCAGCATTCGTGGAGATCAATTAAGGTGAGATTATCTATTTGTTACAGGAGTCTAAAAAGGAAGAGGGACAGGAGAAGAAGCAAGTCTAATTAATGGAGACCAGCAAGTAAGAGATCCTAAGTCTCTAGCTGTTACTGCTTCCCATCTTCATTTGTCGATCCCGGCTGATAGGCTTTTTCGTATGCACATCCGTGAGATTTAAATGTCCATGTGTGTGTTTGCCACCAATCAAAGCACCCTCGATTCTTGACTTCACTAGATAAGTTTGCTCAGACACTTCGTCTTCTTCGAATGTGTATAGTTCATGCAGGAATATGAGTTTATTTTCTAATGAGTATTCTTGCATGATATTTGTCCCCTAAAAACTCATTAAAATTTTATACTTATGAGTTACGAGTTATGAGATAGCGACCATAGATCGAGCATGGTGGAACTAAATTTGTATGAGTTACACGAGTTGGAAATATGAGAATATGGTTCATCCGAGGAATGACTCTACTGTGCATTCTCTTGGACGTCCTGTACACGTGAGCGTTAAGAAAGAGCGAGAGAGAGGGCTGGGCATGGGACCGTCAGAGTAAAGGAAATGTAGAAGTGTATTGAATCTCAGCAAAAAATCAACTTTTTTGGTCTTACTTAAACGATATTATTTTACAAACTTATGTGTAGATGTCTCGCTCGCCACTCATTGCGCATGTCTAGCAGCGATTAGCGATATATTGGGCAGATATCATGGTATCAACGAATTGGTGTGTCGTCCTAATATATACTCCTTATAGGTTATCTTCTAACTATACATCCTTAGCCGGGTAATAATAGTAATATTAGAAAAAAATTACTATGATAATTTCCATTTAAATATCCACATATTAAGACATGTAAGGGACGCACTCCGTTCTATGCGAAGTTAGCACTGGTATCGGAACTGGCATTGTAATGGACACTGGTATCCGAAGCAACCTAAACTTCGTTTTTGCCAAATGACTGCTGATTGCTAAGACAGTCAACGCGTTCTTGTAACGGTACTTGCAGATTTGCGAAATTAAATTTGCAGGTATGATGCCTGGCCCCTCGGATCAAAGGCCTAAATCGTTATCCCACACAATTGTCGGAATTCGAGGCAATTAACTTAACTAGTAACTTTAGGAAATTGCCTCACAAAGTCGATGATCAGTAGAACTGGCAATGCACAAGCCAGACAAACTTTCTTTTTTAATAAATTAGTGCCGCGGCTAATTTGGTTGGTGCCCAATCGACAGCTACGCTTGCTGCCGCCTGCAAAATTTGACATGTCGCCATAAGCTAAGTTGGTGACTTGGTTGGCGGGGCTAGAATCCTGCCCTGCCACGGTTAGCAACAGCTTCTTTTGTTTTGAACCTTTGCTACGCATTAACTCGTTCCAAGTAAACAAAAAAAATAAGCGCAATCGAGCTTCGGATTCAGGATGCCACGAGCTTATACTATCTTATCCTCGTGAGCAGGCATCAATGTCAGGCAGACCTCGTCTTCGCACATTGGCAATTATCGCAACATATAGGCTTGCAGAGCGAAATATTCTAATCGGAAAGATGCCGAAGACTTGAAGCAGTAAAGCTGTACACTTGATGCAGTAAGATGGCGAACATAATCGTACAAGCGCGAGCACAATCTATGGTAAAGTGGGAATGTACGCACCGCATTGTTAAAATTTGCGTGGTGAGCGATGAGGTCGTATTAACGATACAGCGTACTTATCGAAAGCGCATTATAACAAATTGATGCTTGCACTACACCTATCTAGCAAAACGCGTGGAGGTAATAGCGATTCCTTCAAGTGGCAGATGATGTTGCCGGGATCGTGTGTGTGTTTGTCCTGCGTGTGTCGGCAAATGTGCTGTGAACAAGATCGTTGCGCTGACATGTAGCTATTCCATATCGGCGCAACCTTAGTTTTTTTATCTAAGAGTAGCCATACCTTTTTTGTACTCGACATAGAATATTTGCTGCTGCCACGCTATGTTCGTAGCAGCAGAGCTCGCATCTTCGCCTCGTTTGGTTACCCACAGGCACATTCCAATTTTCCTCGTCAAAGTGATGCACATGCGGTGTTTCGTACCCTTTACACGCCTTTAGCAGTCGTATAATCGATAAGTATCATCATCGAACGTTGCGCGCTGCTTTATAATTAGAGCGGAGCTTTTTCTAGTCAGCAAAGAATGCGGTATTATCTAAAAGTTACACGGCTGCTCATTTTTGAGAACCGCTGCAGCATCAAGTCATATCAGATTACATACACACCGCACTCCCTCCGGCGTACGAGCTACAACAAACTATCGGCTAGCTAGTATGCGAGTGGGTGTGCCAAGCTGTTGCATCTGGTAGGTGCGCTTATCGATTGTAAAGCGGTTTGACGCGTCAGATTGATTTCAAATTGACAAGTCTGCATTGAGATGAAGTCGGTTTCCACAATGAGAGACGTCGACAATTTGCGGCGCCAATATTCCCGAATTGTCTACTCTTACCTTCTGGCCAAATTACTCATCCCTCCCACAAGTTCGACACCATTCGCCCTCCGTATTCAGGTTCAATTATGTGCCCAAACATAACGTGCACCCAGCGCATGGCCATTCATGGCTTCGCCTCTACTTGCGCCGGCGACTTCCGCCGCTTGTAGTCTCTAGACGGTTTTTGGTGAAATCGATGTGCTGCTGCAAGATGCTACTCAGAATGAGCTCGGAGGAGTAGATGCGCGCCGGATTTGCCAGCGCCAATGCTCTGCGAGCTGATGCCGTGGCCAAGGCTGTCTCACTCGAAATAACCACGTCGGTTGGACCAGCACTGCCATTAGCTACTGCTGTTCCACCGGCACATTCGACAATCTTTACTAAGTCTTTCACCGGCGGAAGAATTGACTTGTGGTTGGTGATAAACACTTGGTGACCGGCGAAAAGTTTCTGTCGTTGCTCCAAAGTAAAGTCGTACATCGTTTTCTGGAGATCAAACTGCCACTTTCCTTCTGCCTCCGCATCTTTTAGACAGTATTCCCGCTCACTTAGAGACGCACCTACACGTGCCGACTCATCCAGCCATCGCTTATCAACGACATGCGCGCACCGCGATATCCCGCAAAGCATTTTTACAGTTCGTTTAAGCTGATTTCGGGGGGCGAGAACATGCGTTGCCTTCTCGATGTCTTCTTCGTAAACAGCACCTACAATTAAACCAATTTTCTTTCGAATTGAAGCAGTCGGTTCGATGCCGGTGAGAACGATACGCACTTCTAAGACCTTTGACCCGTGTCCAGCCGACTGTGTGCTCACGGAAAGCTGAGTAGTATCGATCTCGCTGATGGGCTGATCCGCTGGTATACGTGGACTAAGCTGGGTTGGCATCAGTGCCGTGTCATCTGGATCCTCGGCCTTTCTTTTCAACCACTTCCTCTTAGGTGTTTTTAGAGTTGGCGAGGATGTAGCAACGAGGGCAACATTCTTTTTGCGAATTGCGATAGCTAAGGCATCTGTTGATTTGATGCATGAACGCTTAGGTACCTTCGATAGAGGTGTATCATTTGATCTCCCTTTCACGTCCCTTGGGCTCGGAACCAGCTCATCCTGTTTGCTGTCTTGACCATCGCTCAGGTTCGAGGCAGTAGAGCCTGTTGAACCAGTTATAAAAGAGGCTTCCTCATATTTTGACGCCATTCGAGATTGAACGAAATGTCTGAATTCCTTTCCCTTTTTCAACGTCGATTCAGTAATTATTCGGTCGTGGTGTATTTCTCGCTCGTCCGTCACAAGGCATCCCTCTTTATCTCTTTCTGCTCGTTGTGCAACAGCGTGGGCGCTCTCCAATGCCTTCGATACTTGATCGAACCAAAAATCAATTCTTGTTCGTTTTGTTGATACGAGGATGATTTCATCTACTGATTCGTCGGTGATAACCAAGCTCCACTCTTTCTCTCCACGCACTCGCTCACCGATTTCCAGTTTAGGAGAGTGAGTATCAAAGTCGAATAAAGCTGTGTGCTGATTCCAACCTTCCAGCTTGAATACTAGCAGCCAGCTACCATACAGAACAACGTCAACCAATTCCCACTGTGGCGAGCTCGAATGGCTTCGAGGCGCCATCCAAAAAACTCCAGGAAGGTGGTCGTCGTAAAACGATGCAAATTTTGTCGGCATTGTATCCTTATTCACAAGCTGGACCGATACCTCCTTGCGCAAGGGGAGTTCGCTGACCAGCCGGCCTTGATGAAGCACTTCAGTTCGCGATCCGTTGTTTTCCAAGAACCCTCCAACTGTATCAGCCCAACGTTGGCTTTCCAGCGCATCCTTCCAGGTCAAGACAAGTATTGTGTCTCGCCTTATCAGTGCAAAACCACGTGCTTCATCCGATGATTTGAATATTGATACGCTGGTTGGAACGTGTTCTAGAAATACTGCATCTTGCTTGAGCTGCAGGCAATACAGGATTGTAAACGACTCATCCGATCCAGTCGTCCGCCTTTTGCTGCAAACCAACGTTCCATCCTGAAAGCAATGCATATCAATCTGATTTGACTGGCTGAACAATCCTGTGTCAGCTTGCAAACAGGAATGGCTAGATTCGCTCCGAGCATTCGCATGCAACAGTGACACCTCACCGCAGAGCAACAGTTTGTTATTTGACAAATCGTTGAAATTATTAGCTCCGTCACCGTTAAAGCACGTCTGTAACGCGATCAACACCCTTTCATCTTGCGCGCCCAACTCGATTACATGGATGTAGCGCTCGCTCTCTTGAACAACATAAATTAGTCGAGCGGCACGATCAGTTCCTTTGGCATTGCCCGCGTTGCAGCCATTACGAGCAGTATCGTTTTCTTCAGCTTTAGAGAAGGTGAGGCTAAGCGCTTTGACAAACTGAATGAGTTCATCGAAGCGATTTAGCGGACGCGCGACCAACTCATCGACAGTCAGAAACTGACTCTGTAAGTAATTTTCCAAAAGCTCGCCATCCCACTCGTTTTTGCCCTTCTCGAACGCGATTCGCAATGCCGTGTTGGTGGCATCTCTTCTAGAAAATAGTTGTCCGTACACAATTCGAAGGATGCTTAGCATATCCGCCAAAGTTTCCACCAAAATGTCGCACTTCCCGTCAAAAGAACAGGCGTTTTCATCATCTATTGGATCCACAATCAGCTTTAGTTTTCCTTGATAGAAAGTGTGGAGGTACTTGAGTTGAGCTGTCGCCTCGACGAACCTGTCGAAGGCGACGTCATCCAAGAGAGAGCCACTTCGCGACCGACGTGCAAACCGCAACTTTCTTGCTAATTCTTTTTCAACACTTTCAAGAAAGTGCACGTAATTGTCGTCCTTTTCCAACTGCGCCCGGAGATTTGCCTGCGCGGCTTCCCACTTCTCTCGCATCACTTGGCGTTTCTTCGCGGTCGAATCAAAATGTCGTTTGGTCATCAGCTTATCGACCAATCAACATGACGTGTTTACGTCCCTGAGAAAAGGACTATTTTACGCGGTCCACGGTCCAAATCGGCGATTTATTTGTTATTTTCCGTGTGCTTAAACAAGTAGACAGACAATAGCAAGTCAATTGAATAGTATTTGATTCAGCATTAAAAGTAGCTCTGGTATGAACTATATTGTTGGTCATTGTTGACGACTTGGTAGAGCTTTCGATTGGAATCGAGAGGGAGCTGTAATAAAATAACGTGTCCCATATAGATCGATTGGTCCTCAACGTGGCGTGCTGATTACGTCGGAAATGGCGATGAAGCCAACGGACTTTAAAGTTCGCTCGGTTATGTCTCATTCGTACACCATGGATTACGACAACAGCATTGTAGTGGGTACGTATAAATTGCGTACGTGCGATATTGTATGACATTTTATAAGACATTAAGCGTTGTTGTGAAAAGGCCGATTCTTTCAATAACACGCTGCCATGTACTTTCATGAGGTCATTGTGGCACCTGGTACGTGCTTATACTACAATTCATTTGTAGCAATTAGAACAGCGAACATCAGACTTCGCTAGCAACGGTGCCGCCTTCAACATTTAAAATAATTATGGGCGAAGGTAAATTATAAATAATCTTTGATAGTATTATTTTCCAAAATTATCTTCTCCGATCCCATTAAGGATATGGTCTTTTCGGGTCTAATTAGAGATATTGTCTCCTCTAGTCTGATTCAGGATATTATCTTTGCGGCTCCCCTGAAAAACAAAATATGTGCAGGTCATTAAGTGACTTTTGTTGTTGCACGTCATATAAAAATGACCGATTTAGACCTTTAAGCGGTACTATTCTCCTTAGTTTCTCCCACCATTTTTAATATTAGTTTCAGCAATACACCACAGTTTCCAACAGGACTTGCGCAATAAATAAAAAGCAACATGTCAGCATTCGATCTGTACTTCGTAATGCACCATTGTACATTGAATAGATTCTAATTAAAACATTTTCAGTAAAATATGTGCATGTTTCCATCATGGTAAGCGTCTTTGTTTACTCTTCGCAATTCAGAACACATTCAGTGAGTTATATGATCCCTTTTTCACAGTCAATAGGATGGATATATTATATTGTCATAAGTATGAGTGTGAGCTTCCCCTTTCCACTTAAAGAATGGTGCTGTCCGTCTGACAATCGCATTCGTCTATCATGTAATTAGTGCATGTAGATAGCTACCACACCACGCATGGTGCCGATTCCTGTTAGAATATACTCTTTCTGACAAGTCAAGAAGGTGTTGCAGGTCAAGTACAAGACCTGGTATAGGTAAGCCCGACCTCACCTGATTGGTTTATAATGTGTCCTAATGACAGATGGGACTGGAGAGACGGTCGTCATGTGACAGGACAACACATGGGACGAAGAGAGACGGACGTCATATGCAACTTGACATGGTCAAGTTGTAATTTCTGTTTCTGGTCATACATATCGTAGTGTTGAAGAAGATGGTTTTTAACACACAATACATTTCACTTTTACTTCTACCCCTTTGCAACGAGTGCATCATTACATTCTAACAATTCCCACATACAAGACCACAGGTAAAGGCATTTTAACCTCATGGTATAGCTGATACAATACTAGCCATCAATAATCTTTTTGCAAGTCAAATTTCAAATTGAAAAATAAATTAAATGAGCCAATTGAATATTTACTTTCGGGAATTGCTAAATTCACACCCTTTTTCCTTAGATTCACACCCTTCCTTCAAAATATTATATATAAAATCCCTATTCATTTTAAGATTTGATTGACACAGCGTCCCACGTGATTTTTGCCAGTTGGCTCCAGTCCAGATCGCCACCTTCACGCGCCTTGAGGACCATTTTCACTGTTAGGTAAAACACGTACGCCCAGCCAGCGCAAGAGACATCATTGAAGGCCAGCAGGTACAAATTTAGTTGCGAGGACTACGCATACAAAAAGAGGGAACTATGGTCAGCCTCTGCGTTGCAAAGTGGACTCTCGTCTGTATCTCCTCTTTCTCTCACCTTTTTGGCCTGCACGACCGTTCGTGGAAAGCCGTCAAGAATAAAGCCACGACGGCATTCCGAACTCTTGATGGCGTCCTTAATGATACCGACGACAATCTCGTCGGTCACAAGTGCGCCCGACTCCATCGCGGCTTTGATCTTTTTGCCTATGTCGGTGCCAGCAGCTACAGCAGCGCGCAAGATGTCGCCCGTAGCCAAGTGGCAGAGAAAGTACTCGTCTTTGTCCAACGGCGATTGCGTACCTTGTGTATATAACATTTTGAAGGAAGGGTGCGAATTTAAGGAAAAGGGGTGTGAATTTAGCAATTTAATCAATATATTTAGGTTTTGATGCTCATATACCTTGCTTCTATAATCACATGATATAAAGGCGCAGAAAAGTATAGGTAACATTAGCTTGATGCGGCAAATACAGGTTTACCATTACTTGCTATAAATATTTTGAACATTAAAGATGATTATGTAACTCAGCTGCTCTTCAAAAATTTTGATCGGACTGCATCGTAATTATGCTGCTATTTCAGGTCGACTAAAAAGCGTCGATACGAGCTGCCCTTACTTCAGACAGTATGAAAAAACGCCTCGCTGCGAATTTTTGACAACACTATAAAATATTGTCGTATGAATGATAATACGATGAAGATGAGACTCAATGTGTCCAAGTTATTTGGTCGTATATAATCCTATGTCTGAGAGGCCAATCTGAAGACGCATTTGTGTTTGGAATGAAAATAATTTGTTATGTTTTGTACTATAAATATTGAAATTATCGCAGCTTTATTAAGGTTCTTAGTTCTGCTATAGTACTTGTGGCAAAAGTTTTCTAATGCATGCTTATGCCTCGTAATCTTGATGCATCATGATTAATTAAAATTAGGAATTTTGTTGTACTTGACCCATGTCCCTTGAAAAAGTGTATCGTGAAAGGAACCGTATATACCTATTTCATCCGCATGGGGTGAAGGTGCTTGCTCAATCGACTTACGTGGCGGGATGAGACTCAAGCCTTAGGTCAATATTCGGCTTATATGGCATCACATGATCAATAACTTTAAAAAAGGCAATGTTCCTCGACTCTCTCATGAACAAAAAAATCTCACCCGTTAAGAATGATTTATAATTTGATAGCGGGCATTTGCGATACGAGATATTTGAAGAGGGCATGAGTACATTAATATCGTCGTGTTTCTCCAGTATTTCAAAATCTAGAGAAGATAGATCCGATGCCTCTCAATATGAAGCAAAAAAGCGAGTGCAGCTCTGCTGTGAGATCACAACAGCGTAGAGGATTGTCAAAAAACCAAGGATAAACAAGTGCAGAGATAAACCAATTTTGCAACTTCAAGATGATGAAAATGTACAGTGACGGATTCTGTTCCTAAGTTATGGAATCGTGTATTGCTGTTCCAAGGTATAAGGTATCCTAATTACTTTAAAAATCAAAGCGACAAATTATATATAGCTTCATGCTAGAGTTGACTTTCCCTTCTCGAAAGCCTTCCTCCGAAGCCAGATGATGGGGACCCTAATCCCAAGTACATTGAGCGCGAAACTCCTAACGAGCGCGACAGAGCGCCTTGCGAGCGACAATATACAATAGTGACGGTAAGTGTAATAGTTGCTCATTACACCCCCAAAGGCAATCAGTATGAAAAATTGACATCGATCTGTATGTCTGGCTTGACAATATCCAATGCTTATTGTGTTTCGGATTGCCCGATATGCAAGTCAGCTGGTATCCCGTAGATGTCAATATGCCTGCATCTAGTCAATCGAATGGAGGTAAGATGAACGTCTTACAGGAATTCAAAAAGATGTGAATGTGCAGAAAAGGAGTGCGATGTACTCTCTGATGGAACAGTTCTCACGACCGCACAAGAGCACAGTATGGTTAGCAGCAGCATTTGAAGCAAGCCGCGGCGGATGTGCACAAAACACAGGCAGCAAACAAATTATCTAAGCGTAATGGGGTATGGATACATGTCTTGAAGGAGACATGCACCAATGAAAGTAAAGTGGTCTGGAAGAGGACTCAAGACAGTGCTAGATTGGCTGGAGGGGAATCCGTACAGAAAATTGCTGTGGTAGCGCTAGAGAACGTTGAGAGAACATACTTCCTTAAGCAACCGATGAGTGTATAGTGTCCAAGTAAACAATTGCAAAGGGTCGGAGATCCAGAATTGCTGACTAAATCTTCCACTCCCCGCGGTCATAAGACATTGTGGCTTTAATCTGATCCGTGTGCCCTGTTAGATCCTGTGCCCACTTTCTGTACCGTCGGTAATCAGACTTGAGACATTACTACGGGTCTTGGGAGATGTCGATATCGCTTCGAGTTAGAGCTTGAGGCTATCTGTATTTGTGCAAGAATCTTCACACAGCGATCTGAGTATGTTTTGGTCTGTATCCGAGATCACCTGTAGATTTTAGTCCGAGATCGCATGATCTGCCTTTCAAGCACTTGTTCCATGTCATAGATACTTACTTTGTACTTGGTCTTGTCTTCTGATCACTTGAACAATCTTGGTAATGTTAGATAGTTATGCGTAATGATTATTATGTCGATCTTGCCTTTTCAGGACTTCCTTTCTTGCTGCGTTCAATCACAGTCGAGGCGTCTCGAGAGATCCTGCTAATTAGGGGCGAATATATCCAGAAATATATGTTCTTCTTGTCACAATATTGCGGGTTCTTGTTCTGGTGGATAAACGTTCCAATCCTGATAGAGGAGGCCTAGTATCTTCAATAGAAGAAAAGGTTTGAGGTCTACTTCTTAACCAACCAAATTAAGAGGCAATATCTCACCACGCCTATGTTTAGTTATAGGATACCTGTCAAACCTATATCAAATTTACATTGAATCAATTCATTGAACACGTATCAGATCTAGTGAACCGTATTCAAATATGATGCATATATCCCAATACGGGGGTCCCTAAAATAAGGTTTTTTCCGACCAAATTATCACAATGTCCAGTTTATTGGGATAAATATCTAAACATTGGATGAATATCAAATGTCGAGCAAAGTTTGGGCTAATCGACTGTGAGTATCAATTCGAACACAATCTACTCACTCTTTTAATCGAGTATCACGGGGATAATCTCAAATCTTCTCGGTACTTAAATATTGATTGTCATGTTCAATCACTATTAGATTTCTTTTCACTGGACCACACCACCGATCCCAAATGTAGTGTCAATACCTTGGTAGGTAGCATGTTTCTATCCCCTCGATCTGTCTCCAATTCTTTGGCACATCGTCTCATGCTCTGTATGGAGACATATGATCTTTCTTTGATTCTTCATCGCGAATCCCCTTGGGAAATTGATGGATATACTAGGGCAAGGAGCCGTCGATACCGCTAGTACTGTAGCGTATTCCAGCCGTTGAACGATCCGTACCATCTGTCGTGGTCATGTTCCATACATTTCAAGTCCAACTTGCAATAAATTGTCTCTGATATAGTGGGGTCCATCGAGCCGGTCTGGGTTTTATTCATGGGGGAAACTTTACCAGATCACCACCGTTACACCTTAGACTTCTATTGACAAAGTAAACCAGTTGCATTCTTCGATGATTTGCTTTTATTTGTCCGGTTCCTTTCCCATATTGAGTGGATAGAGATCAACTTTTTCAAAATAGTAATTTTGTCACACAACCACGGATTTAGTTCGCTCCCAAGGAATAACTGCGATCCAAAGTGTCTTGATTGGTACCGACCAAGTATGGGCACTTGTACGATTTGTACGATTGGGTCTCCAGAATGACTTTGCACCATACAGATCGTATAACAATACTGCAAACTAAGCAATTCTTTAAATATACGATCTGCGTAGTGAAAGGTTCAGCATATCCGTGTACCCATCGAGAAAGACTATTATGATTACTGATATTCCGTCGGAAACGAAAATTGCTGAGAAGGAACGGGTTTTGAGTAGCTTGTTCGATTAATAAAAGCGTCCTCGATGGGAATACATATATTTATTGATGCTTTCACGATCCTAGGGTGCTTCAGGGTATTCTTCTATGTTAAATTTAGTCGAATTGAAGTATGTAATATATAAACACGTACCATTTGATCTGTCTCAGAACAAATGCACTCGACACGAGATCATATAGAAACGAAGCAAAAAACAGTGTACCATGAAGTAGTTGCGATTTCCTCGAGAGTAGGTCACGGTGATCGACACGATATTTGACGATCTCATAGCAGCAGATCATGTTTGGTAGTTACCTCCTAAGATAGAACCTCAACGAACGTCTGTGATCGTAGGACCACAGGAGTGTGTCGGATAAAACATGACTTTGAAAAAACTGGGGGCTACAACGGCATCTATATAGAAGCCGACTCCGAAGAAAGGTTCGATCATGGATGGCGTATCAACGAATAAGCTTATACGTCCATGGATCAGACGGACAGAATCTGCGAAGTCCTGGTGCATTAGCGGGCATTACCTTAAAAGCATTGAGTACACTCAGCGTCATGATCTGGTACTAATATTGGATCATAGGCTAATCAATTCATAGCTTCATTTGACCAATGTGATATGAATTTGTTGAGACAGGTGCAAGATTTTGTGTCAATATTATTGGACAATGTTTCTTCCTTGACGGTACATGATAGAAATCAGAGGTGGAGCTCCATAGGTTTGTCCTCACTTCTGAAGATTTTTTGCACTCAGGCGCAAGCACAACTTGTATGTCAACTTCAAGGAGTTTGTATTCGGAGCGAGAGAAATAACGCTTATTATCTATAAAATGTAGCGTACGCCTGATCTAGACACGATCAAGGTAATCAACAACCGGCATTTCCAGTAGAATTCACGGAAATCCAAACTTTTTATAATAATGGCGTACTTGCGCAAGTACTTGTAAACTACGAAAGGATGACGGTGCACCTTTCTTGTGTACTCAATCACCATCTGAACTGCTACTAAAACGATTAATTTCAGCGTTAATTTGAATTTACCAAAGAAATATTGACGAAACAGCGAATGCTGGCCATTGAAAATTAATAAAGACCGATTCAGGTGGTCTGTAACACCTGCAATTTGTCAACTCACTAATTTTGGAGAAATACACCACGAATGATGTGGAATGCGCCGTTTATTATCAGTCGGGTCTTTTGCTACAGTACAAATGTAATCATAAATCAAAAATTGCCTGGTTATTTAATTTAGACCAGTAAGGAGCTACGGGTCTATGAGTTAGGGAACAAACCTCTCGTTTTTGTGTGCGAGTAATGCGTTACCACT